CTCCCAGTTTGGTGTCATCAGCAAACTTGCTGAGGGTACATTCTAACTCTTCATCCAGGTCGTTGATGAAGAAGTTAAACAAGACTGGGCCCAGTACTGACCCCTGGGGGACACCACTAGTTACCAGCCTCCAACTAGACTCAGCACCGCTGATGACAACCCTCCGAGTTCTGCCATTCAGCCAGTTCTCAATCCACCTCACCGACCACTCATCCAGCCCATACTTCCTGAGCTTCCCTAGGAGGATATTATGGGACTCAACCCCCTAAGATGTAGGCAGCATTATCTGATTGCATTGATGTTTAGGCTTTTGGTTTTAATCTCCAAAAAGTCCACCAGGATGATGACAGAGATAGCCTCTACTCTGTCTTTTGTATTTTTCAGAAAAGAAAAGTTCGTTAAGTTTTAATAACTGGATTACACAGTACCACAAATTTTGTGCGACTCAACTTAGAATCACAGAATGCTTTGGGTTGGAAGGGACCTTTAGAGGTCATCTAGGTTCAGCCCCCCTGCAATAAGCAGGGACCTCTTCAACCGGATCAGGTTGTTCAGAGCCCCATGCAACCTGAACTTGAATGCTTCTAGGCATGGGGCCTCTACTGCCTCTCTAGGCAACCTGTTCCAGTGTTTCACCACCCTCATGGTAAAAAACTTCCTTATATCCAGTCTAAATCTACCCTCCTTTAGTCTAAAACCATTACTCCTTGTCCTGTCACAACAGGCCTTGCTAAAAAGATTTTCCCCATCTTTCCTATAGGCCCCCTTCAGGTACTGAAAGGCCACAATCAGGTCTCCCCGCAGCCTTCTCCTCTCCAGGCTGAACAACCCCAAGTTTCTCAGCCTGTCCTTGTAGGAGAGGTGCTCCAGCCCTTGGATCATTGTTGTGGTCCTCCTCTGAACCCGCTCCAACAGTTCCATGTCCTTCTTGTGCTGAGGGCTCCAGAGCTGAACACAGTACTCCAGGTGAGGTCTCACCAGAGCCGAGTAGAGAGGTAGAATGACCTCCCTCGACCTGCTGGTCATGCTTCTCTTGATGCAGGCCAGGATACGGTTGGCCTTCTGGGCTGCAAGCACACATTGTTGGCTCATGTGCAGCTTTTCGTTGCCCGAGTCCTTCTCCACAGGACTGCTCTCAATCCCTTCAATCCCCAGCCTATATTGACACCAGTTGAACTTCATGAGGTTCACACAGGCCCACCTCTCCAGCTTATCCAGGTCCCTCTGGATGGCATCCCATCTGTCTGGTGTGCCAACTGCACAATTCAGCTTGGTGTCATCTGCAAACTTCATGAGGGTACACTTGATCTTTCTGTCTGTGTCACTGATGAAAATATTCAACAGCACCGGTCCCACTACGGACCCCTGAGAGACACCACTTGTCACCGGTGTCCATTTGGACATGAAGCTGTTGACCACTACCCTCTGGCTGTGACCATCCAACCAATTCCTTATCCACCAGACAGCCAGCCATCAAATCTGTATCTCCCCAATTCAGAGAGAAGAATGTTGTGGGTGACCGTGTCAAAGGTTTTACAGAAGTCCAGATAGATGACATCAGGCTCT